TGCAAGAGGCTTTATTTCCACAAATGTTCAACTTGTTTACCTTAAATGGTGGGAATCTATCCAGAAATGTGTGGAATTACTAAGAAATAAGGAGTAAACTCAATTTAAACTCTTGAATAAGTCCTCCTCTGAGTAACCTCTGGCTTCAAGGAATAGCCCAGATTTTTGAATGTTTAATGTTTTATGAAGCGACTAACTGTATTAACCCGTTTATTACCCTATGTCTTAATGAAAAAAATTTAATCATCAAAACAGCGAAGTGCTAAGGCCCAGATTAAACAGATTTTAATGGAAATTCAAAGAAAAATTCTCAAATCTGGGATTCATACTTCAATTATACTAGTGAATTTTAGCATCATAACATGGAAATTGTTTTATGGACAAAACACAGGCAAATGTAACTGTTACTCATAAAAGTGTCAATGTTAAAATATACACATTTGCACCTAAAGTCTGTCATCTGCCACTGTGTACTACCTATGAGATGCTCATGTTTCAAAAACACATCAGCCTATTTCAGAAGCTTATCTCTTTACTCACAAACATACATATTAAGAACATGTAAGAAAGTGTAAGGGTCAGAAAGATTAGGATTGTCAGGGTAGTAAAAGATAAGGTTCTCTTTGAAAAGAGTAGTCTTGAAGGTAGAGAGATGAGCCCCTTCTCTGATAGCATTTGGTAGCTCCCTTTCACATTAAGGTATAACAAACAAGGAGAACATGAGCAGAGATTGACTGCAATGATAGAATTTCAGTGCCAGATAGCATTCCTGAGAGAAGCACAGGGATTAAGATAAGACTGTATGTCTGCATGTAAAGAACTATGTTCAGATAGAGAAATCATTTGTATCCAAGAATGTTCCAATTGAATTGGAACACAGTTTAGGGGGCCATGGGGTGTTAAAGATAATCAGTGTTATTGCAGCATCCTTGAGCCCCAGGATATGAACAATTGAAGTGCTGGTTTGCACTAAGTGTTTTGGAAAACTTTATGAACCAGCAGTACACAGGATGAAAAGAGTTTAAATTTCTAAAAGTAGATTCATTTTTTGGGTAATGAGCAGCAAGAATTGATAAATTGGAAGGTTTATGCCAAAATCCATGATTTTTTTTTCCTTGTGAAAAAAACTGTGATTGATTAACTCAGATATATTTTCAGAAGAATTCAGCCAACTTAACTCTGCTTTATGTTGGGACAGTCAAAACTTTATTAAGCATACCAATAAAACAACTTTGTATTTCAAGTATAAAGCATTTGTATAAAGTATAAAGTTTGCTAAGCAGTTGTGACATTAGCCAGGTTGAAATGCATGTGTATTATGATAGCTTAACAAGATTGCTGCATTTTCCTTCAACACGTAATTAACAGCGGATGTCAGCCTTTTCGGAGCTATGACAGGTGCAGCCAGCACAGTCAGGCAGCTGAAAAAATCTCTTTAACTCAAAAGAGTTATGATTCTGAGACAGGGGCATTATTCTTGCTGCAGCTCTCATCTACAACACCTTAACGACTCTAATGATGATGAATGAGGGCTCCCCGCCTGTAGATTCCTTTAAAAAATGTTTGCTTTTGCTAATCTCATTTAATGGATCAACAACACCTGCTGCACCTAAATCATTTCAACCTGCAAATCAGCAGGAGGGAGCTTACTGAAGGTTTTACTGCCAGTGGTTGGAGCGACGCTAATATAGCTCCATCACCTTGATGAATCTTCATCTTTCGGTTTTAGCTAATCTACACTTAAGGATGATGATTGCACGTCGTTTTTACATAAGTCAAGTGATGTCTTAATTTATAATTGATTTTATGAGCAGAGACTGATGGATCATGTCTCAGATATAAAAGAGGTAAGAGTTAAAGACGAGCAGCTGGAGAGAAAAACTCTTTTGGGGTATTTGGAAAAGTACATTATCTCTGGTCTTGTATCTTATAAAAGCAATTTTCTTTAACAGGAGAATGCCAAAATACACCAAGCATAGCATTTTTCTTTTCCTGCTTAATATGAATTTATGGCTGTCTCTGTGTTTTGAGGCCTATCTAGCTAAAACTTTCTTCGTTTGTAGACTTGGATTGATTTGTCACATGTTGCCGACTTTGACCTTAAAGGCTTTTTGGGATCTCCAGTCTCTAAAGAATATCCTGTTATCTGAAGGAAAAATCTCAAAATCTGGATCTTTTAAAATCTTCCAAGACTTCCCTAAGCCAACCTAAACTTTCCTTTTTTTTCCTCTTTCAGGCATCAGACAACTCCTCAGATCTTGTAAGTCCTTTAGAAGTAGAGATAATATCAGAATCTTCATGTCAAAGGTTTAGATAGGACAGGGTCTACCTGTCTTTCTGTATAAAGCTTTAAGTATTGCACCTAATCTGTTTTCGGGAGGGTCCAAGCAAATAAAATTTCTAATTGTTAAACAAATCTGTGACAAAAGCTTCTCTTTACAATAGTTTTGTTGTAATTGAGCACAATTGATGTTGGTATCCCAAACACAATCCAGCTGTGGCGCTCTGCATATTGTGAGTTACGCATGATAGCAAAAGCCAAATTTACAAAAACAAAAAAAAACAAACAAACAAAAGAACAAATCAAAATACTCCAAAGCTTTGCTTCATTGGGGACACAAGACAACTCCTTCCTATTTCTGACCTCTGATCATTATAACTCCTATGGAAGAAAGAAAACCTGGATGAAGCCCAGCAATGTGATTGTAACAAAGAAAGATGTGCATTAAGTACTGTCCATTTTTTGGTCCTTAACCCCCATCATATTGACTGCACAGGCTGTTTGCAATCGGGAAATCACACTACAATAGTTAACGCAGAAGTTGCAACTACTTTATGTGGCGACTCAGGGGTAGTTTAAATGCCGGCTAAATTTAGTCTTGGTCCCCACCTTGGTTTTTTAGCAAGAAACACGGAGGCCTTGGTCAAAATAGTGCCTTCATCCTGCTTGGAGTTTTTTGTGTAAGGAGTAAATAGAATATTTTAACATTATGCTCAAAGTGGGGAATTTGTTTCAATTTAAGTTATATTTATTCTAAATGGTTAAAATTAAAAGCTTATTAAAAGATCAGACTTCTTTTAGGGGACTGAGTCGGAAAATGTCATTAGAGCTACATCTCTATTCTACAGACGGTGAAGTAAATATCACTTTGCTATTGTTTCTTTATTAAAGGTCCTTTACTCCTCCCCTTCAAATATTCTCCAGAAAATCTTGGGGAACATCCAGATGTTAATAGGCAAATATGATCTTGGAATTTGTGGGGTTTTTTTTTTTCATCTTGGATTTCTCTCATGAAAGAATTCTGCAATTCATAAGCGAAATATTGTTCTTGAATCATAACATAATTAACAAAGGCATGATGGGTGATTTGAATGCCGCTCTACATTATTTTGGGCCCTTTTAGATGATTTGTTAATTCCACATTTGGATTTTGGTATGTCGGCCACTTCTGGAAGGTTCTTCACTCTTCCTTGTTTTCACCTTTTTTTTTTTTTGGATAATGACTCTCATTGTTGTTCGCTGATACCCTAAAGCCATAGAAATTATAATACTGACACATTACAGGATAAATTGCTTTAGATTTTTTTCCCTAGTTCATCTTGTCAAACATATTTGACAAGATCACATAGAAGTTCTGTATTTTAGTAATATTTTGATTCTACAGATGTTATGGTAGCGAGGCCTGAGTGTAGCTAGTAATTAGCTCATCTCTTCAAAGACTGTCGTCAATGACATTTAACATGAATATTCTTTTCTTACAGTACTTAGCATCAGCATGATTTGGATAGATTTGTTCCCCTTTTAAAATGAAATCACTGCTTTTAATCTTTTCCAGCTGTGGATCAGATCTAAAGCAGCAGCAGCACCAGCAAATTTATTTATATCAACTAATTACGCAGTTTGTTACACAGTTCAGGTGCTTTGTAAATCTAACTTGTTCATTTTATAATCTTACTTAATCTTGTTTCTGTTATTTTTTTTCAATTAAAATAATAAACTTTTTTGGAACACACATTGCCAGTGAGACTCATTGAATTTTCCAATATTTGACATTTTGCATTTTATTTTGAGATTTAGGAGCAAATAATGATGAGTGGTTAAAACAGAGGGGCTGTGTAAATATTTGCTTCAGGCACCTTCAATAAAAGAAGACCATAAAGAGGAATAATTACTACACTTTTGCATTTAGAACCAAGGAAACCTGTTTTACAATGGTGGGTCTGAGTTTTAACACAGTGGAGTGTGGGCCTTCAGGGAAAAGTCCCTGCCAATGAATTTCATCTCTGGCAGGTGAAAAGAATTGGCCGCTGAATTCATGCCATAGGTGGAGTGCTGGAAGACCTCAGCTTTTAAAAATTGTAGGAAAAAACAAACAAACTGTAAATTCAGGAGTGAAGTTTAATTGTTAGAGACTCAGACCTTAATTACAAAGCAATATGAGACCTTTTTGAGCTATAGATTATAGGCAAACAGGGTTTCGCACAGCTTTTATTGGGCAGTGTGCAGTCAGGAATTCAATGAAAAGAAGAGGCAGGACAATAATAACAGCAGGAACACACACACTGCTTTTCTCCTGATTGAAACCAGCTGCCAGTCATCTAGAGTCATAAGCTGAAACTGTGATCCATAGCTCACAAATTACAACACAAGAACTCCTCAACTACGTCAGCCTAGATCTGTTTCATGACAGAAACAGACATGCATGTAACCCAAGTGCAGCAGCAGAAGCAAAGTGACACATTTCCATGAAAATATTTTTCTTTGCCGTTTTGCTTCTAGGTGTTAAATGATCCATGACAAGGCAAAACTCTGCTGCATGTTTTAAGTGACACATTTTCAGTTGAGTTGGTAATTTACCCATTGATGTATATATCACCTGTTATATAGAGCATAATTTGTGACTTTTATAACATTTAGATATCTGTGCAGAGGGCATGCTGTGTGCATGCTTAGGTAGTTCATTTAGCATTCATTGAGAATAACAGTATTCATCCCTTACCTTCTGCAGCCATAGTGTGTTGTTCTCCATTATGCTTTCTAGGTGCTGAAGTTTCTGTGCTGACCACTCGCCGTCCACTGGTGGTGAGTCCCTCTGCACAACGCTCGCCCCTCCACGAAAGCTCCCATAATGTTCGGCCTGGGATGTGGACCCTCCACTCTGACATCCGTCCAGTTCCGGAAGGACGAAGGTGTAACTGCACTGACCATGCTGGATACGATGAAACCTCTTCCTCTTCTCTGCGCCTCCTCCTTTTCTCTGGCTTCTTCCAGCTCCTGCTCGCTCTGTGCCTCCAACTCCTGCTCCATCACTGACTGTGGACCAAGTCCAAAGCAGCAGCAGCACCAGCAACCACCGGCTGAGATCCAGGCCTTTCATCACAGCACCTTCTGTGTTTTAAAGTGTTCTCCTTTTAACAAGGGAAGGTTGTTAACACTTTGACCCCAATTCAGCCTAAAAGGAACTTTGCACAAACCTCTGCATGCAAAAGTGAATCCATGAGGTCAGATGTTCCTGCTTGTTCAGTATGCTAATTTCTAAATGTCTCTTCAATTGTTGGATGCAAAGAACTAAAAGTTAGGAAACCTGGTTTTACGGTGAATTGTTCACTTTTCCGCTCCAAATTGGGGTAAAGATGCCCACCTCTCTTCACTTTCCCAAGAAGGATCTTCCTTTGATTTCTTTTGGTCAGTTTTCTCTCAGATGAATGAATCCATCTGCAAGATGTTAGACAGGTTCCTGACAGCTTGCTGATATTTTATCCTTTCCTCATAAATGCAAAAGGTGAATAAGCAGATCTAAACAAGAAAAAATGCAGGTATAAAGGTTTAAAAATAAGAAATCAATTCTGAGAAAACATTATGTTTAAAATACAATGTCTACAAAAACAATTTCTTTTGAATATATTTAGAAAAAAATCACAAATCAAGCAAAATCTAATAAATGGAAATTTGGATTTTACTCCCTCCACCCTTCTCTGGTGGCTTCAGCTTCAGAAGTGACTAGAGAGAATTACTTCTGCCCCCTTCTTATCTGGGAATGGCTGAAAAAAGGGGGAAGGAATGAGAGTCAGAGAGAGAGGGAGAGAGAGAGAGAGAGAGAGGAGGGGGGTAAGGGGAGGAGAGCAAAAGGGAGGAGTGAATCGATGGGGGACTTGAGGGAGGTCTATTAGAGTGCCCTCATATTTGCAAACTGAGAGGAAAGGAAGAAGAAATGGGAAGGAGCCAGAAAAAGAGGCAGATTAAACAACTGAGCAAAAGGACAGAGAGAAAGTAAAGAGAAAGGCAGGCAGATAAGACAAAGAGAGGGCAGAATTAGAGCCATAACTGTTGACACACAGAGGAAAGGCAGAGACATTGATAAGAGAAAGAGATCTAAAAGAGGTTCTGTAGTTGCTTTAATCTTCCTCCTGACTGATCTTTGACATCTGAAGTAAATGCCAAGGCCTAGTATGGACATCCACACTGGTTCAAAGCTGGAGCTTTATGGCCTCAACACAGCCAAGGTCTGCAGCATCAGGGGGTATCATCAGCTATGACTAAGCATAGTCCTCACAGTTCAGGTGAAAAAAAATAAACTGGCTGAGTCTCTGTCGCAGGATGCATCTCCTCACTGCTTCTCATCTGTCCAGCTGTGCTCCCCCCCCTGCATGGAAATACATACAAAGATTAGTTCCAGATAGATGGCTCACTCCCAGCTTTATGAAACCCAAGCTCTACATGTAGAGAGACAATGCGAGTTGACAGAGTTTATTTGTACGATGATAATGTGTTCCACAGAAATTAAATGACTCAAATACAGGGAAAAAAATCTGATAGAGGCCATGAGAGAAGAGATACACTCGCAGATTTCACAAGGAGATAAAATCCAAAAAATGTGCCATTAGTGACATTTTGAATTAAAGTAATCATAAGAAAAAACTGACCATTTCTGTAAAGAAGATTCTTTCACTGCCCTCTCATCTACTGGTCACAGAGGAGTCAAAGATGAAAAGCTGCTCTGATCCGCTCCTCTGATTTATTTTGACAAAATGCTGTTTTATTTTCATTCCAGCCTGACCTCCGTCTATTACTGCTCCTGCATACATCTTCATTTTTGCTGAACTGGCTTGCTCTCTTAATGGTAGTCAATTGGTCCTCTGGGAGCAACAGAGAGGTTATGCAGTGGATGGCTTCTGCCCCAAACAGACATCATTCTCATGGGAACGAGTTGGACAGGGAGCCCACTGTGCTCAGCCTCTTTGCTGTTTATGGATATATATACATAAACCTGACCATAGCTGATGCATTATGTGACTGTAAAGCAGGTGACTTTTAGGCAGGATCATTTTGATTTATCAACCAAGTTAAGCTTCATCTACGAAAGCCTGGTTTTCAGATTAGTAAAGTTAAGTAAATCCTCAGGTTTAGGATGAAGTAACTGCAGGCAGGTGCTTGATCTGAAGAACATTAGTTATGCCCTCTAATGAGGTCTCAAAAAAGCATGCATACTCACACCCACTCACAGAGATCATGATGTTTTAGAGTGTTTTATATGACCTCTACCACGATTGGTAGAGACCAGCATCCCTGCCACTATGGTGTGATATCCAATGACATTTAAGATTGACAAGCTCAGAGACGCTCTCTCTCTCCGTCCCTCAGTGTTGGTGGTCTCTGTGCTCTAGTCGGTTTTATTTCAGGAGTAACAATCAGTCATGAACCAGCCCTTTCACCTCTCTTCTGTGGGAAACGGACAGAATGATGAGGATTTGTTTTTTAATCCTGGATTTAATTTCAACTATGGGTCTATTTGTGCATCTAGATTATTTTTCCTCTTTTGTCAATGGGCAGAAATATATCTTGCCAAGGGTTGGCAATTTTGATATCTTGTCTTGAGAATAAATGATTTATTTTCTGAGTGAGTTTTTTGGTGATGTGTGTAATAAATTAAAGGAGCCAAAATCCTTTGATTATTTTAAAATATCCATTCTGAGAAAATATTCTGACTAAATAATTTTGGAAAAGATGAGCAGGATTTCATCATTGCTGAGTGGGTGTTTTGTTTGATGTACCGAGTCTTCATTGTTTACTTTTTCCTGAATGTCAAAGGATAATTTGCAAGAGTATCTGTCTGCAATTTAAATAACACCTAAAGTATTAGTACAGAATGTGCCAATATAACCGAGGGACTGCAAGATAAGCCTGAGAACAAAAAATTAGGCACAAAAAACTGGCCGTATTCTAAGGAGGTTTAGTAAAAAGCTCATTGGAACAAACAGGAGAACAGAAGAGGAGTTCTTGTCTCAAGGTATCATATGGAAAGACTCAAAGGGGAAAAAAAGACATGGGGGTAAAACATAGCTCACTTTGAATACAGTCTGTAGAATCCATCATATCCTCAAAGAAGAGAAGGATGACATTTGAGATGTTGCACACTCCATGTTAATACTGAACATTTTTCATTTTTGACAAACTTGAAATATAACTCTCCGAATGTAGACATGATATGGTGCAGAGCCACACTCACACATCAGGTATATGGAGTATCAGTCTATTTCTGAGCATTCTGAGCAGCAGCTTTGTAAAAGATTTTGATTATTCAAAAATGTCACTCTGAGATTAAAACAGGCATATCAAATTTCTTAGTTTTGATCAAAATATAATTACTGATTTGGGTATGACTAATGATTTATATTGGAAAATATAATAAGAAAATGCATTTCTAACTCCCCAACAACATCACTTTATCACATATGTTGGTTTGTTGTTATCTGCTGGGTCAAATCTTTTTCTGCATTTTCACAGCATTCAATTGACTCAAGGTAAAAAAAATAGGCACGCATTTTTTAACAATAAAAATGCTCATAGACTAAGAATTCAGATGGTAGCATGAGAAAGGATAAGGTATTATTTTTCACCATCATCGAAAATCACTTCTGACTGTTGAACTGAAGTAATATATTACAGTAAAGTTTGTCTTTACCACTATATGATACAGATGGAAAAATAAATCAAAAATTAATAAAATACTCCTATTTATCAAACACAGGGGAAAAAATGAAAGAAAAGATTCAATAGTACTAATGTATCACAGCATGAAACTAAAGAAAGCCAGTCTCTATAAATGAGTATTTAGCAACTTCTTTAAAGGTATAGTGGAGGATTTTCGTGAATTGAAAAAAATCTGCCCCCCTCCAAAATGCACATGCACAACCCTGTACCCACTCCCGTGGGGGAATGCCTATTAAACATGTGCGAGAGCATGCAGGGGCCCATTTCTCATGGTGCACGCTCTGTTTAAAAGTTGCTGCTTGCATCGCTCGTAAAAGCTTACTTTCCAAAAGAAGATTTGCAATTTTCCACTATGTCAGACTCACCACTGGTAAGTAAAAATGGGGATGAGCACGTCGAACGGCCTACGTAAACATATCACCAGAATGATTGACATTTAGGAGGACCACTTATTTTGATGATCCACCCACAAAAAGGACATCCTCCACTATACCTTTAAAAAGTCAAAAGAATTGCATAGAGGCAACATATTCCAAAATCCGGAAGCCACGGTATGAAAGGATCTATCCTCGATGGTGTTAAAATGTGTGAGTGGAACCATTAGAAAAAGATAGGTAGGCAGATCTCAGGTTGCAAGAACTGCAGTGCTCTAGAAAGTCAGATATAGGCAGGGACTTGGCCACATGGGGCTTAATAAGACAAGACAAAAAATCATGATGAATTCTTCATTATACTTGCAGCCAGTATAAGTGATTAAGACTTTTAGTCTCTTATTTTAAACACATAAAATAGACTGTTAAAGTCATCAAGAATAATCATCTCTAATTTGAGTTTTTTACACCAAAAATGAAAATTATAGAATAATTTTGTTAAAAGCAAACAACAAGAATTTTCAATTAATCTACTGTCCTTCAATTGTTTTGCCTGTAGTCTTTCAGTCGTACCAGAGTTCACCTGCAAGTAGTTGTCACATAGCCACTGTTTGATACTGCTAAAAAAAAAAGACGGTCAGTAGGAACAACTTTAGATACCCAACTCTCTTAAGAGAACATCAGTGCAGAATAATATCAGCATAAAAATTACAAGGCATAGAAAACAAACTAATAATTTTCCAATGCAAACAGCTACTTTGACTTATTCTCAATATATACGTATATAACCTCCCCAGTGTTAAAATATTGTCTTGGGGCCAAGCTGCTTATTAAATATTAATAGTTTTTGCTGAATTAAAGTCTTTAAATCTAAGACAAACTGGCACCAAATTGTTAATGATAATATCAGGAGTAGGCAGGCTAAAACAAAATATTCATTCTATAATGTTGAAACATTGCTGACTTCAAATTGTGGTGAAAAAAGATGGCTGGTATGAAATATAAATAAAAGTTAAATGTGCATGCATACTGTGGAATCCAAAATGTCAAAGCGGTAAAACAATTTGTCTGTGGTTTCCCCCAACAAAATAACAAAACCTGTGAATGTTGACCTGATTTCCCAACAATGTAAATAAAAATGTCCAAATGCAAAACGACATGTCCACTGCAGAGAAGCAAACTTACCTTCTATAAGGCTGTTGAAGTTCAGTCAAACTTTTTGCTAATTTTTCCTGTAGCATTGTGATAATCCTGCAATGCAATTTTGCCACCTTCGCAGTTTACATCCCTTTAAACCATCTTTCTTTGACTGTTACATAAGTGAGATGGCGTGACCACATAGTATGCAGCCAAAGTCTCAAACTTGCACAAAACAAAACCTCCTGATGGCTTGGGTTGTTTGGGCAATGCTAAAACATGGCAGCCAGCATAAAAGGAACAGAGGACACTGCCAACTATCAACCAGGCACCTTCATTTGAAACCCCACTAAAAATAACCCACTTAGTAACCACTGAGTTCCCAAACACAGTCATTGTGCTGAATGCTTGCACATATCTACAGATCACTCATGCATAGAAAAAAAGCAAACATGCTTGGAGTCTATCCCAACATTATACATAGAAGTTGTGGTCATAGAAGTTCTGATCCTACAGGGAATCTTCATCATTATGCAGTGTGGGTCGAGT